GTGGTGAGAGGGAAGAGATAAAGAAAGTCCATGAAAGTTAAATAGGATAAAATATAGTGAAAACATACCCAATGTTACAATTACATTACATCTTTCACCTTTTTATTTAATGCGCAATTTTACTAATTTCAGGAAACAGTGTATCTAATAAAGATGAGAACTTTTTGGTGTAAATAGTGAAATTAGTTTCAAGGTAGAAACAAATCTATTTTACAGAAGCAGTAGCCTACACAACACGCACAATCCTCTCAACAAGTCAATGAGACAATTTTCAACTGGTCTGAGGTCTAGAAGGAAGAAAATAATACTCGTAGAATATAACAAAATGCAGGTGGGGTGGGATTGAAAGTGGTGGCCACCATCTCTTCAAGCCAGACATGTCTCTGTGGTGCAATCGGTATGCGCATTCGATGCTGAAAGGTTTGTGGTTCAAGCCCACCCAGGATGTTTTACATATAAATTGACAAGGATACCTCATGCAGATAAAAATCTGACTTTCTGTAAAGGCAGGAGATAAAGAAACTCAGAAAGTGACATACCCGACAGAAAACAACTGTATCTTTGACAAATCTAAATGAGACACTGTCATTGATGAAGAAATTCAGCTGTTTTAATAACTGGTTCATATTTAATTAGCTGACAAGTAGATATATTATTATTGATAGTTTTGCTTTAAGGGACAGAGAAACTCAGACATGAAAGTATAAATAGGAAATATAAACAATAACATACCCAACGTTACATTACATCTCATCTTTCACCTTTTTATTTAATGCAACAATTTTACTTAATTGAGGAAACAGTGTTCTAATACAATGAGCACTTTTTGGTGTAAATGTGAAATTAGTTACAGGTAGAAACATTAGAAGCAATACCTACACACCCATACCTGTGTATGGGTTGGGGGAGGGGTAGAATGTTATTGCCACACTTCTTCAAGCCGGCATGTCTCTGTGGCGCAATCGGTTAGCGCGTTCGGCTGTTAACGAAAGGTTGGTGGTTCAAGCCCACCCAGGGACGTTTTACACTTAAATTGACAAGGATACATCATATAGATGAAAAACCTACTTTCTGATGCCAGAGGGAAGAGATTAAAGAAACTCTGTGAAAGAATAAACAGTGAGCGTTATCAGTTGTGACATAGCGACAGAAAAAGCTTACCTTTGACAAATCTAAATAAAACAGTGTCCAAAAGAAACTAATGAAGTTCACAACTTTGCTGACAGGTAGACATACTATTATTGGTATTTATACTTTTTAGATTCTTCAACCCACAGAAAGTAGGGTTTTTCATCTAGGATGTATCCTTGTCAATTTATATGTAAAACGTCCCTGGGTGGGTTGAACCACCAACCTTTCGGTTAACAGCCGAACGCGCTAACCGATTGCGCCACAGAGACGTGTCTGTTGTGAGGGTGTGGCCTTGAGGTCCAGTCCCCTCCCACCTGCAGTCTTATATCTAGTATCATTTATTCCATGTAGAACTGCTGAATAATCATGTATGCAGACAGGGCACATGGACCACAGGGGCAAGCTAGCCCCCTCCCCGGCAGGCTAAGCTAGCTAGCTATCTAAGAAGTATTAAAAATAAAAACAAATTTTCATGGTGGAGCCTCATTTGTTTTTACAAACCCTGTGTCAAATGATAGAAAAAAATAATAATCATAACCTTGTAACCTTTCACTTATTTAGCATATATTGTGCATTATAAACACATTCCTTACTATTACCACCTGTAAGAGATGAGTTGGTTCCAGTGACTGTACAGGACTAACGATAACATAACTCAAACTCATTACAGCCGACATGTAGTTGTAATTAAATGCAGAGTTGTGTTACTTCAGTGAACTTCATTAATTTCTTTTGGACACTGTTTTATTTAGATTTGTCACAGGTACAGCTCTTTTCTGCAGGTTATGTCACGACTGATAATGTTCACTGTTTATTCTTTCGCAGAGTTTTCTTTATCTCTTCCCTCTCACCACAGAAAGTAGGTTTTCATCTACAGGATGTATCCTTGTCAATTTAAGTGTTAAAACGTCCCTGGGTGGGCTTGAACCACCAACCTTTCGCGTTAACAGCCGAAACGCGCTAACCATTGCGCCACAGAGAGTGTCTGTTGTGAGGGGGTGTGGCCTCCATCATCAAGCCTCTCCCATCTGTCTATATTTGTAGTATTATTTTTTCAGGCTGATCAATAATAATGGTTTCTACCTGTCTTCTGAATTATATTTTTAAAAAAGTGGCTCATTGTTAGCGTATTTGAACACTGCTTCCTAATTTATTTCTTTGTCTATTTTGGAAATTATGGAAATTGTCTCATTTATACTTGTCAAAGGTATAGGAATGTACTGCTGGGTATGTCATCAGGTCAAAAATTATTATTGATCAACCTGAGTTCTAAATGGAATAAATGATACTATTATTCATATTGTTATTCATTTCTTTTATTTGTGGTATGGGGTACATGGTAAATTATGGGGACCAGACTATCAGTATGTCTTAAAACTGAACTTTAAGGAGACATCGGTCTGCCCTTGGCCACATTAATTTAATTCTTTCAAAGATATGACTCCGTTCATACCCTTTATCTTCGCATCTAATAGCATTTAGCACAACCTCAGAGAGTTGTTGCATGGCCAGACTTTGGCTACATCCACACCTAATATGATTTAGTTTTAAATCGCATCACTTTTGCTCCGTTTACACCTGGCCCCTAAACGGAAACTTTTGGAAACACTGCTGGGAACCCGTTGGTTGCGTTTATATCTGCCTGAACAAGAAAAGGAGACTTTAGGTAGAGATGACGTAAATAATCTACTTCCTTGTTTACACCAGCATGCACATGACCAGAGTGTACCTTGAATGTCATGTGATATAAGTTTTCAGGCCGTTTAGTGTAGACGGAGTTTATTTCTGATGCGGAGCTAAACGATCCTCTGAAACACACTGTTTTAAACGTATTAATGTGGACGTAGCCTCTGATTCTTTTTCATTCCTTAATCCTACAAACCATAATCTTATTGTGCACTTTTATTGTGCAAAAAACGCCACACAGTGACCAATCAAAAAACATGTTTTTCGCCATTCTCAAGATTTCACATGCTGATTAACCCTAGACGAGTTGTTGGAAGACACACACAATCCACAAGTCTTCATACGAGTGTAAAGACAGTTCGATTATCTCTGTCTCTATTTCATGGGTTCAGCGAGTACTTGGAGTAAGTTTGGTTTTGTTTTTTTTGTTGTTTGATGACGCACTGGTTCCATCATAATTATCCTGTCCCTGCTGTTAATGTCAAGCTCTTACTGTCGGGTTGTTAGGAAACAGACGATCCTCTAGAAGACTCGTACCTTGATGTTCCCCTAATATTTTAGCCCCCTTGGTTGTGGAACGAGGTATGTAAGTTTGAATTGATATGATTATTAATCCTGTGGTTGTTTAATTTTGAGTGATGTTTCTGAGCGATGGTGCTGCGTTAATTATTTGTGTGAATCTTTAATTATCACCTTTTGTCTAATGAATGTATTTTTTCTTTTCTTATTAATTTTTTGTTAATTGCACTTTTTATAGTATTTGGTAATTTGTGCTATGAGTGTTAACTTTTCTTTTGTTTGCGATCAACATTGTAAATGTATTAATGAAATTTCTGCTTGTGTATTTTAACTAATATTCCTTATTTTTCCTTTGTGTTTCTTATCTATAGTTTTCATGGTGCTTGACATAAATAAAATATACGCACCAGTATGAAACTCTCCGCCTCAGTTACTGGTACCAAGGGCCAGCTACATACACCAAAGAGTTCTCATTGTATTAGAACACTGTTTCCTGAATTTAGTAAGATTGTCGCATTAGATAAAAAGGTGAAAGATGAGATGTAATGTAACATTGGGTATGTTATCATTAATACTTCTTATTTATACTTTCATGTCTGACTTTCTTTATCTCTTCCCTCTCACCACAGAAAGTAGGTTTTTCATCTACAGGATGTATCCTTGTCAATTTAAGTGTAAAACGTCCCTGGGTGGGCTTGAACCACCAACCTTTCGGTTAACAGCCGAACGCGCTAACCGATTGCGCCACAGAGACGTGTCTGTTATGAGGGGGTGTGGCCTCGAGGTTCAGTCCCCTCCCACCTGCATTTGTTAAATCTAGTATCATTTTTCCTTCTAGACCTTAGACTCAGTTTTAGAAATTGTCTTGTTTGGACTTGTTGAAGGTATGGGTGTGTAGGCTACTGCTTCTACCTAATGTTTCTACCTGTAACTAATTTCATATTTACACTGTGAATGACAGCGGGTTGGTTCATACTGCTACCTGGGGACCGGTCATTGTTGTGTAGCGTCAGAGGAAATGCGGCGGCAGGAAGGGGAGGAAGTGATTAATTAGATGACATGATCCACCTGTGCTTTCCTTTCACACTGCTGGTACTGCTCACCTGTTGTCTGCTGCGGTGTGGCGTGCTGCTCACCTTCTCTTTGTTTGATGATGTCCATGATGTACTTGGAGTAAGTTTGGTTTTGTTTTTTTTGTTGTTTGATGACGCACTGGTTCCATCATAATTATCCTGTCCCTGCTGTTAATGTCAAGCTCTTACTGTCGGGTTGTTAGGAAACAGACGATCCTCTAGAAGACTCGTACCTTGATGTTCCCCTAATATTTTAGCCCCCTTGGTTGTGGAACGAGGTATGTAAGTTTGAATTGATATGATTATTAATCCTGTGGTTGTTTAATTTTGAGTGATGTTTCTGAGCGATGGTGCTGCGTTAATTATTTGTGTGAATCTTTAATTATCACCTTTTGTCTAATGAATGTATTTTTTCTTTTCTTATTAATTTTTTGTTAATTGCACTTTTTATAGTATTTGGTAATTTGTGCTATGAGTGTTAACTTTTCTTTTGTTTGCGATCAACATTGTAAATGTATTAATGAAATTTCTGCTTGTGTATTTTAACCAATATTCCTTATTTTTCCTTTGTGTTTCTTATCTATAGTTTTCATGGTGCTCGCCGGCAAGGGCGGCAAGAAGAAGAGAAAGACCAGGAGGGAGAGCTACGCTATCTACGTGTACAAGGTGCTCAAGCAGGTCCACCCCGACACCGGCATCTCCTCCAAGGCCATGAGCATCATGAACTCCTTCGTCAACGACATCTTTGAGCGCATCGCTGCCGAGGCGTCTCGTCTGGCTCACTACAACAAGCGCTCCACCATCACCATCACCTCCAGGGAGATCCAGACCGCCGTGCGTCTCCTGCTGCCCGGTGAGCTGGCTAAGCACGCCGTGTCCGAGGGCACCAAGGCCGTCACCAAGTACACCAGCTCCAAGTAAACAGCGCAGCTGCTGCACTCGCTCCAATACAACGGCTCTTTTAAGAGCCACTCACTTCATCTGAAGACAAACTCTAAAACACACATCACAGCTCTCATCATGACTCTCATTACTGCTCAACATGTTGCAGCTCACACACAATAACAGCTGCAGCACTTTCTTCACTGTTTACAAGTGTGGAAGGGAAGGAAACAAGAGTGTAGCAGTAGGACTCAGGTGAGGGAGCAGGGTCTATGAAAGGGGGCGGGGAAACGCTCCATGACTTCTACATTCAGTGTTTCACTGGACTGAAACATTTGTAATTTTATCCACTGCTCCTTCAGTACGGCCTACACTGAGGCCTCCTAGTGAAACTCTTGCTTTGTTGTCACCGCAGACCAGCTGTTGAGTACACACACACACACACACACACACACACACACAGAGAGAGAAAGTATAAATGTGCTCTCAACAAATGAACTCAGCACATGATGAATGACTGGATGTTAGGACTCAGGTGAGGGAGCAGGGTCTATGAAAGGGGTGGGGGAACACCCACCTGGGCTTCACTGAGGCACACCTGAGTGATCAGCTGACGCCTGTTTGGTGCCTCATTAGTTATTTTGCTCAACAAGGTTAAACTCATGACTCCAACAGGGAGACTGTAGCACTGTGACGTGTTTCCTCATACAATCAAAATAAAGATTAGTTCATTGTTGAACTATGTGGTTTGTTCGATTCTTCATGTTGATTCAACAGAGTCTCTTTTCAGCTCTGACTGAAGACATGAAAAGGTTTTGGTGTTTATCTTTAACAAAGATTAAAATCAGTTACACAATACACATCACAGCTCTCATTATGACTCTCATCAATGCTCCACATGTTGCAGTTCTGATACGAGCACAACAGTCACTGTATTCACTGCTTACAATGAAGTCAAAGTCCGAGACCAACACTTTACACTGAACTGAGACTGTTGTGTAACTGATGTCAAACTGTTAAAATGATAAAACTGCACCATCCGAACAGCTCACTGATGAACACAAGACACTGCTGTCTTTATGGCTTAGTATATTCAGAAACAGCTCATAGTCAGGACAGTAGAAAGCACAGGCTGCGTGATGTGAATATGTATATATAATATATTAGTAACTGTAGGAGGAACACAGGAGTATGACATGGGGAGGGGCTGTGGACGGTTGGGACAGATACCTCCACAGACACCCGAATGGGGGATCTACTTGAGGTCACATACTGCTTCGTCTGAATGTATCCATCGGTAACGCCACACAATCTACTGCCATTACTCTATATTACTCTACAGTTCAGTGAGACTTACACATATTCACAGTGAAGATCTTTGACTCTAATAGAACTTCTTAAGTTGGTGGTGATAAACTGAAAAGGTGAAGTCTAGTAGAAACAGACAAACACAAGTGAAAACCTAACCTCCTGGTGGAGGTAATAACATACAGCTCTAATGTGGACTGTAGGTTCAGTCTGATGTTACAGGAGGTGAACCTTCTAGATGTATGTCTTTATAGGTGTAACTGCAATCACTTGAGGGTGTGGGGTCAGGGCAGCATGTAGTGTTCAGGTGAGGGTGGGAATAAAAGACGCACATTCCAGGTCTAAGGTTCAGACTCTTTATCTTTTAGTTTGATTGATGTGTGGTTACTCTAATGTCCATCACATGTCACCATGGTCCAAGGCAGACAAGATCCAGCTGTCACCTGCTTGTCTCACTCACTGATGCGTTCATGCATACACCGAGTTCACATGCACAGAGCATGATCAGAAACATGCATAGATGCACAGGGCCAGTATAGGTGAAAACAGCACACCTTACAGGCAAAGGTGAGGATTAGCAGGCAGGTGCATATAAGAGGGAGTGGGGCTCAGAGGAGGTTGAGTGAATTAATGTGCTGCATCTTACAGTGAAATAAAGTTTGATCCATTTTTCACTTATCACCTCCTACAGGGAGATTGAAAGTGTTGGGACGTGGTCCGGGGGAGAAGCCCTACCTAGCCTTTCATGGCACATGGTGATTATATATGATGTAATCCAGCCAAAAAGGTCCATTCCTTCCTTCTCCCCTGGGAGAGCCGACCATCGTGTTGCTGCTTGATGTGCAAGGTAAGTTGGAGCTCTGGTAATGTAGGGGGGTATCCCTGCCTAAATGCTGTGTGGTAGGCCTGAAGGGGTGATGGTCACCCTGAGCTTTTTATACTATTTAGTATTTATATTCAGTCTTTTGCTGTGTGTGTGTGTATACATATATATATATATATATATATATATATATATATATATACTATATATTATTATATATAGTATATATATAATATATATATATATATTATATAATATCATATATATATATATATACGTATTATATATATATATATATATAGTATATTATATATATATAATATATACGTATATATATTATATATATATACGTATATATATATATATATATAATAGTATTATATATCTATATAATACGTATATATTATATATAATATAATAACGTATATATATATAGTATATATAATACGTATATATATATATATATATACGTATATATATATATATGTATACGTATATATATATATATATATATATACGTATATATATATATATTATATATATATATTATGTATATAGATTTTCTATCCGTGTTATATGTTATAATATAATATATATATACTATATACTATATAATATATAATACATATATATATACATATATATATATATATATATATATACATATATAATATCCATATATAATAATAATATCATATATATATACATTATATACATCATCATTATATTAGTATATATAATACATATATATATATATTATTATATACATATATATACTACATATATATATATATATATATATATATATATATATACATCTCTATATATTATACATATATATACTATATATACATATATATATATATATATACAATATATATATATATATATATATATATATATATATATATATATAGTGCATGCTGCATCTCCCTGCTAATTAGATTAGAAATTAGTTTCCATGTCTTTCAGCCTAACACAGATTCAGTTGGCAGTTTAAGAGGTAGCCTTTTTTTTAGCATCCATATTTGTACTAAACTAAACTCTTCTTTCAGGTCCTCCATTTTCATCATTATTTTCATTTGTTAGATAAACTTGTGTCCGTGGACTGGATGCAAGTCTCCTGCTCTCTCCATTTGCAATCTGAGTGTCACACTCAGGTAGTAGAGGCATATTCTGCCTAGGGGCTTACATTAACAATAGCTACTAAAAATGAAAGAGAGATTATGGTCTTTATTAATGTTAAAATCTAAAAAGGTGTTCTGGAACAGATAATTAACTGCATTGATACAGATGTGTTGACGGCAGTGAACAGTGGGAGCAGCAGAGGACTTTGCTGTTGAGAGCAGAGTGAGTGGCTCTTAAAAGAGCCGTTATTGTGTTCAGAGGAGCTGCAGCAGAGTCTAAGCTCTCTCTCCGCGGATGCGGCGGGCCAGCTGGATGTCCTTGGGCATGATGGTGACCCTCTTGGCGTGGATGGCGCACAGGTTAGTGTCCTCGAACAGGCCGACCAGGTAAGCCTCGCTGGCCTCCTGCAGAGCCATGACAGCGGAGCTCTGGAAGCGCAGGTCGGTCTTGAAGTCCTGAGCGATTTCTCGGACCAGGCGCTGGAAGGGCAGCTTGCGGATCAGCAGCTCGGTGGATTTCTGGTAGCGACGGATCTCTCTCAGAGCCACGGTACCGGGCCTGTAACGGTGAGGCTTCTTCACGCCGCCGGTGGCCGGGGCGCTCTTACGGGCAGCCTTGGTGGCCAGCTGCTTCCTGGGGGCTTTGCCTCCGGTGGATTTACGAGCGGTCTGCTTGGTTCTCGCCATCTTTCTTCTTGTTCCTCAGAGCAGGAGAAAAGTAGGAGAGGAACCAGCGACCCTCGGCTCTTAAACCGTGGGGCCGGCTGTGACACGGTGACGCTGCTTCACACCCCCGGGTCCTGATTGGTGCGGGGCTCCTCCTGGAGCTCAGCGCCGCCCAGAGGAGCGACCATCCCGCCTGATCCTCGGCTGCTTATTGGACCACAGTGCTCTGAAGCTGTGTGGAAAGTCCAGAGCGGGCCGCCCTCTGCTGCTCTGCTGGAGCCTCTTCTCTGGTTGGTCTGGCGGGAACCGTCCCGCGCTCTCCGCGGACATATAAGCGAGGCTGTTGCTGTTTGCGCCACACTTTCTCTGAGTCGACACTGTAGAGAAAAGATCCTGAAAATGAGCGGACGCGGCAAAACCGGTGGAAAAGCCAGAGCTAAGGCCAAGACCCGCTCCTCCCGGGCCGGGCTCCAGTTCCCGGTCGGCCGTGTTCACAGGCTGCTGCGCAAAGGAAACTACGCGCAGCGTGTGGGTGCCGGCGCCCCCGTCTACCTGGCGGCGGTGCTGGAGTACCTGACCGCTGAGATCCTGGAGCTGGCTGGAAACGCCGCCCGCGACAACAAGAAGACCCGTATCATCCCCCGCCACCTGCAGCTGGCCGTCCGCAACGACGAGGAGCTCAACAAACTCCTGGGCGGAGTGACCATCGCTCAGGGAGGCGTGCTGCCCAACATCCAGGCTGTTCTGCTGCCCAAGAAGACGGAGAAGACCGCCAAGTCCAAGTAAAGCCGCTGAACTCAGCGACACTCAAAGGCTCTTTTAAGAGCCACATACTCACCTCTCACAAAGAGCAGCTCCTCCCGTCTCTCAACAACCTGCACAACATAATAATAGTAGTAGTAATAATAATAATAATAATAATAATAATAATAATAATAATAATAATAATAATAATAACGAAGCAGCTGCACTCATCAGCTCTCTACTGTCTTCATACAAACATGGGGCTCCTCTTTCTCCGTCTCTGCACCTTCACCAGAAAACCTCATACAGACAATACAAGTGTACAAGCAGCAGCATAACTTCTGATATGATACACTACATCAACCACATCAACACAAACGCAAGCTGCTGTCCACTAACAGCTGATCACTGTATATTCAAGCTAATCAATCCTTTACTTGTAATGTATGTAGATTATAAACAAATGTAAAAAAAAAAATATTTGTCAGTAAATAAATGAAAAATATTTTCTGGGACTTTTATTGTGCAATAATAATTTTTTTTCTTCACACCACATTTATTTCCCAGCTCTTTATATTTCCATCTGTTATATTGAAATGAGGGGGCGCAGTTATCT